AAGAGTGAGGGTGAAAGGAGAGCAAGATGAGACAAACAGGTGCCAGAAGAGAGAAATAATGGGAATGACAAAACAGACCATAAGAGAAAAAGAAAAAGAAAAAAAGAGAAGCAGACTCACACTAAGGATGGAGAAATTCCATCTTGCTGCCAGCAATGCCATTTTGTAAAATACAGACAGATGATGAGGAATCAGTTCAGACCCGGGGAAACACAGGAGCAATAAGGAAGAGCCAAATAACCTGACCCAAAGAAGGAACATGAAAACAAAATGCTAAATGCTAGGAGCAGCAAAGGGTGCCACTTTTCTTGTAGTTTAAGAGTTTCAGACTTTTCTTGGGGAAAACTCCCAGCTTCTTCTCCATGATTTATGATTCAGAACCTGCAGAAAATTCATCTTCTTGCTTTAACATTTCTTCTTCCTCTCTCTTTCCCCACCATCATTTCAGTCTGACTCCACTGCAGTAAATGCCTCCTCTTGGACCTGAGCAGAACAATAAATCCTTCCAACCCATCCACATACAGGAGTCTAAAATATGTAGTTTGAAGGGGATCTTTCTGTCGTTCTAAAATTACCAAACTATGTAAGGGCCACAACTGTATATTTATACATGAAACAATCACTAAAATCAAATGTGTTGAAAGGTTCTGTACCAGTATCTACTGATCTCTTTAATCCACTTTGTAATTGGATCCATATGTGCTGAAACTAGGGGTGCTGAAGGTGTGGTAGCACCCAGTGGCTTGAAGTGGTTTCCATTATATAAAGGGTTTACAGTTTGATTCAATGGCTCTCAGCACTTTCTGTACAAATTGTTACAGCATCCCTGCCTGGATCCCAATTTTCACTTTGCTACAGGAACCTAAAGGCTTGATCCATCAAAATCTTACTCACAGGTCATATTTGCATGAAATTTCAGTGGGATACTTGCCTGAGTAAGGATAACAGGATACAGCCCTAAATTAATCTTAACACAGCGAGGGATGACAAAGGAAGGGAGTGGAAGATCATACAATAGGCTTAAACACTCTGAGTGAGCTCCTGGTTCCATGGAAGTCAACAGCAAGACTCCCATTGGAACAGGATTTTACACCTATGTATATGCTTTGCAGTTAATTCTATTTTATTTTAATCTAATTAATTGAATATATCAGAATTTGCGGCTGGCATCCAGAATAGAGACTGTGGTGATAGAATCCCTCTTACAACACACATATGCCCTATAATCATGCTGTGAAATTATATAAATGCAGGATTTGTTTATTAGGCTGAAGGCAGCTTTGACAGATTCTTGGAACTGTTTGAAGTGGATAGTGCTGGACTCACTCATTATGAGCAGAAGTTTGATCCCATAGCCTTCTGCAGAACCTATTTCACTCTTCCCATGCATGGCCTGCAGAGGTTAGTCAGCCCCAGAGGCAGATTAAGGTTTCCCAGGGCCCTAGGCCAGAGCAAGTGGGGGCTCCTTCCCACCCCTTCCGCCTGCGGTCCCGCCCTGTTCTGCCCCTTCCGTCTATAGGCCCGCCCACACCCCACCCCTTTCTGCCCCTTCCCTGGGACACCGTCCCTATGCCACCCAGCGGTTCCCCTCCATGACCCATTTGCTCCTTTCTCCCCTCCCCCCCGCCCACTGCAGCCCCAAGGCTGGAGAAGCTCTGTCCCTGCGCCATAGCCCCTGGGCCGTAGCAGGGAGTGAGAGCTCCTCCAGTCCCGGGGTCGCAGCAGAGGTCCGGGTGCCACGCTTCTGCAGGGGACCAGGATCAGGGTGCTGGGCCTTCTCCCGCCCCACACTTCTGCCAGAGAGCGGGGTCGGGGCACTGGGGGCTTCCTCTGCCAGAGACAGGGTTGGAACCCACTGTGGGGGCTACCCCTGCCTGGGTGCTTCTGCCAGGGAGACTTCCCCCATCACATGCCTTCTGCCAGGGTCGGGACCACTGGGGGAGGGGCTTCTGCTGGGGGTGGGGGAGGCACTCCTGGGGGAGGCGCTGGTGGTGGGGGGCTTCCCCTGTCCCGTGGCTTCTGCCGGGGGTGGGGTCTGGGAGTGCAGGGACTTCCCCCACCCCACCTGCTGGGCAGAAGCCAGGGGCCTCCCAGTTCTCCGGGGCCCCTGGGCCCGAGCCCCGTGGCTAATCCACCTCTGCCCAGAGCACCAGTAAGCCTCTTGGAGCAGCCCCAGGGGGAGTGTGATCTGGGGTTCCTAAAGAGGATTATTAAAAAAATAATAATACGAGTTGTACCTGTTGAGAGGGGATAGTCTGAGGGAAGCAGGGGGTTGGGAATCTCTCCTTTCCCTCTATTCACAATGAGGGGGAAGGGAGCTATGCCAGTGGGGAAAGAGTATTCCTTATAAAAAAGGGCTTAGGTCATAGAACACTGAAGAAGTCTCATAACAATGAGGAACCATTTTCTCCTAACAACTTTATCAGCCAACGCATGTAAACTAAACAAAGACATGAAAGTTTAGGGCCAAACTTTTATAAAATAATTGAAATGAATAAGGGAATTACGAGCCTACAATTTCTGAAGTGGGTTGGGAGAACATTAATTACCTCTTGGTTATCTTTGTTCTGGTTTGCCCAGAAAATCTTGTGATAAAGAGTCTCCATTGAATTGCTGGAATCTGATCTGTCAAAACAGTGTCGATCCAAGACCTCCAGTGTATGCAAAACCCGGCTGATGGTGACCCCTAGGTATGGAAGTTAAGAAAAAGTAACCAAATAGTTTACCAGAAAAATTCTTTGTTAAATATAAGTCTTCACTGGATATACGCAGCACTAACGTCTGGGTGAAATGGACACAAAAGCCATCCCCACCCCACCCCTCCCCTAAAAAGGAAGAAAGTTGAATTTAATGTTTATGGTACTATGAAAGTGATAATTTGGGTGGCTGATATGATGACATGGACACCTGTCCTCAGCTAACATGAGTAAAATCAAATTAACTTCCCCATTGGTCTCTGAAAAGCAAAAAGAGTGGTCAGTCACTATCAACCTGGGCTAGATTTGAACCAATGACTTAAGACCAAAGGCACTCTCACTCTATCAATCCTCTGAGCTACTGCAACCCATCAAAGCTGTAGAAGGTAATGTTTAGTGAGAAATAGCTGATCCAATTATGAAAGATGTGGTATGCTAAATACTTTCTTGTATTCTAAAATACATCTAGAGATTAACCAGATCCTGTGTTACCAGAAATCCATGCACACACAAACACCCTACTATTAAAACTGCAAGTTTCTCCAGTACTTAGGTGGTGTCCTCACTGCCCTTCTTGGAACACTCCCACTCACAAGGATCTTTACATCTTCCCTTCTCACAGTGACCAACCCTACAGTTCAGGTGGGTTACATATGGTTTCCCTCAGGAGCCCAAAACCACTAAGCCCTGTGTCAGCAGGAGAGTCATGGAAGATTATCCCCTATGGACTGAAGAGGCTATTTCTGAAAATTTCACATCCCCACTTGGTCCAAGAGTTTAGGATTCACTTAGCCCAGAACCTGAATTGTAATGGTCCCTCCCGACTAAAATTTATGCTAACACACCACCAATCCAAAACCGAAAAAAATACAGGGTGCCTGTTACTTTGAGTCAGTCTATCAAATCTACACCTAAAATTAATCACAATGTGATGTAATCAAGCCCAAACTCACACAAATATGCAAAGCCTAGGACCCAAATTTTTCAGCATTTACTTTGCATTTGACTTGCTTTACCTGCCGTTGATTCTTGGCACTTGTCAAAAGACCATCGCACCTCCACAGCACAACCTCGTTGTTTTATCTGCTGTTCTACTTCATAAATCTTTGCCCGAACCTAAAAAGATTATTGTTGCTCATTAGCTAGTGGCTGGGAAGCCAGAATTCTCATCTGAAGCACATTTCTCTGCATGAGTAAGGTATACAACAGTGTATCACAATGCTTCCTATATTAGGAAAAAGTACCCTCAAGCACAGAATGTTCAACTGATTTGATTTTTTAAAAAAAAACATTATTTATAGTTCTATACTGAAATATCATCTTCATTTCAGGACTTACATTCAACCCAACAATACTGTATGAGTGAAAGTTTTTCATGTCATGAATGTTGCACTTTACTGGCAGCTGCAACAAGTCTCCTGCTATTTTTTGTTTTGTGCCATTAAATAACATCAATTTAAATTAACTCAAGACCTTTACTTTGAAAGCATTAAACAATACTGCAATTCAAATGCACAATACTTTAATCCAAACAATCCCATCATTCATAAAGATTTGCCAAACAATTTAGTACACCATAATTTATACAGTTCTAAAGCTAATATGTAACTAATCCCAAACCAAGACTATAGGCATACCTAAACCTGCTAGTCTTAATGAGCATAAAATATTACATTTTTTGAAGGTACACAGAATATAGACCTTTGCCCTGTAAAAAACAAGCCTACCTGCTGATTAAATGCTGAATTTCCACCTGGCATAGGTAAACTAGATGGAGCAACTTGAAGTAAGTCCAGAGGAGAACCTGGATTAATGCTCTTACTTTCATTCGTGGAATAATTCCACACCAAGGCACTTGGGCAACAGAGAGTTACAGTCTGCAAGCAACAATGTAAAGTAGTTAGAAATAATCTCCTTTGCCGAACATTTGCAACAGACAGGGTCACAGCTAAACACTAACAAAAGGAGATAGTCGCTTGAACTAAACCACTTCTGCCTCACAACTACAGTGAAAAGGACTAAAAAGAGGCCTTTGCAAAACCATTTGCTTTTTAAAACATCAGTGTGGGAAATTAAATTAAAATGGTATTTTCCTTATTCATTATTAAATTGAAAATTGCATTTAAATATATACTTGCTCAATTTACATTTGTATTGCTTTCATACTGCCATCAAAGACACCACTGAAGGCTAATTTCCATCAGACACTGCCTATGAAACATGAATAACTTTTAGCAAAATAGGTGTCATTTTAGGGTTTCGTTTACAAAGAGAAGCTATATGTGAAAAATTAAAATGTATGTCATTAATTAAAATATGCTTTCCTATCAAGATTTTAAAACACAAAGGAGCCATTCAAATGCACCTTATTTCTAAGTAAATCTTCTGTTCCTGAAAGGTGCTGGATGACAGGCCTGAAGACTGATTTCCATTTATAAACCATTATAAAAACGACTATTGCTATGGTATCTAGGATTAAAAACCTACAAGGATTAAAAACCACCAGGTGAAATCATACCCTACTGAAGTCAATGGGAATTTTGCCATTGACTTCATTGGGCACAGGATTTCACCCACCATGAGGGTTGTTCATCATCGAGGTATAAGCAGGACCTCTAGGTTGGGTTCCTGTCAGCAACCCATCCTGCTCTAAATTACTTTTAGAGCATAAGAAAATAAATTCTAAGTTACTTCTGAGCTTGCCACTCTGTTTTCTTTTGCCTTGATGGTTTGGAAATTTTTTTGGTGAAGGAGAGATGGATCTTAAAGCATGATCTGAAAAATACCTAGAGTAAGGTTCTTCCCAGCTTCTTTTGGGAATGTGTTCCAGAGTCCTGGGTTGTGTTGCTGAGAGGATCTACCTCCTGCTCTCACAAATCCAGATCTGGATTCCAACAACAGTAACCTGCTAAACAGGTTGCCTGAGAAGTGTCATTTGAAAATAAGCTGGGCATATCTCATTGACAGCTTTGTGAATCAGTACCAAAACTCAGCACTGATCTGGTGATGCAAGGAGAACCAGTGCAGGTAGCAAAGCATAATATAGTCTCTTTGGACTGTTACACTTAGGAAATAAGTCACTGTGTTGTTTACCAGCTTTATGAATTTGTCTGTGCTAAGAAAGAGAAAGAATACATGTGGCAATAATCAGGGCCGGCTCTGGCTTTTTTGCCGCCCCAGGCAAAAAAGCCTCCGGCCGCGCCGCGCCCCCCCCGCGCAGGGGGGAGGGCGGCGAGCCCCGGCGGGAGCTCCGCTCTCCCCCTGGCGGCCAGGGGGAGCCCCGGGGGGAGGGCGGCGAGCCCCGGTGGGGGCTCCGCTCTCCCCCCGGCAGCTGGGGGGAGGGCGGCCAGGGGGAGCCCTGGGAGGAGGGGGGCGAGCCCGGGCCGGGGCTCTGCTCTCCCCCCGGCGGCCAGAGCCCTGGGAGGAGGGCGGCGAGAGGGCGGCGAGCTCCATCTGGGGCTCGCCGCTCTCCCCCCGGCGGCCGGGGGGAGGGCGCCGGGGGGGAGGGCGGCCAGAGCGCTGGGGGGAGGGCGGCGAGCCCAGCTGTGGCCCCGCTCTCCCCGGCGGCCGGAGTGCCGCACCGCCCCCCTCCAGGTGCCGCCCCAAGCACAAGCTTGGTGGGCTGGTGCCTGGAGCCGGCCCTGGCAATAATACAATATGGAGGCGACAAACACTAATGGCAGGTCCTTGTCCAAGAGGAACAGGAGGAGTCTTGATAGGTGAGAGTGGAAAAAGTCTCTTCTAGCTGCAATTTGATTTTCCTAAGTCAGTGAGGAGTCCATTGATTTTGCATTATCCTAGTACAGTCACGAGCCCTTGATGGAGGAAGAGGTGCTGATGTTCCCATTTACCTTCTTCACTTAGTATTAACTCAGTGTCCCCTGTGTTCAGTTTGAGCCAGCTGGTCTTCATCCAGGCTCTCAATTCCCTCAGGTGCCATGGCCTGTGAGAAAGTGATGCCTGAGAGATACATAGAGCTGCATGTCATCAGCATATTGTTGGCATCACAAGCCATGTCATCAAGTAGATGTTAAACAGAAGCAGAAATAGGACTGAGCCCTGAGGTACTCTGCATGTCAGAGCTCTTAGGGAAGAGAAGCAGCTGCTCATCATAACTGAGCCTTTTTAGAAAGGAAAGAAGTTATATTAGCCTAGTTCTATCACCTCTTGCCAGCACATATACATGAGTTACCTGCAGCTCATGATCAATAGTGTCAAAGGTGGATAAGAAAGCAAGTAGTATGAGTGTCATTGTCTCACCTTGGTTCATTGCCATTGGGACTTGTCCATCAGTACGACCCATGCTGTTTTGACTCTGTGCCGACCTCGAAAAAACTAGGACATCTTCGGAGGTTAGGTGCTGCTGGAGTCGGTGCACTAGCACCCTGTCTTTGACCTTGCTCAGGAATGAAAGGTTTGACACCCGGCAGAAATTAACAAGAGTCACCGATGTCACGCGCTGGCATCTTGAGGACAGGCCAGATTACTGTGCATTCCAAAATGCCTAGCAGAGTGCTCTCCAAGGGAGGTTTTAATTATTTCTGCTAGCAGAGGGCTTCTGTCTACACACAGGTACCAACAGGGACAGTCACCAGCACAAGCTTCTTCCTGCTGATACCTCTCAGTCGTAACCTGGAGAGGCCAACCTTATGTTCGTTGACCAGGCTCATTCAGATCTTCATCTCTTAGCTGAAATTGTCAGAAGTACCAAACCTACTGGTGGTTTTTGTGATATGGCACCTATACATTAGGAATGTGTCTGACACCACTCATTTCAAATTGACCAGTGAGCAACCATGAGATGGGAACAATAATTGTCTAAGATAGATACGAAATAATGACCTATACGTAGAAGACTTTTTATCCCATTACCAGACCCATCAATCATCAAGTCCCCAGATACACTGCAATGAGAATTGTTAATATCTACCTACCTGCAGCATACAACTCAGTCCATAAACTAGTGGACGATGTTGTGGGCAGGAAAAGAAATCTGAACAGGCTAGCTGTACCGGGCTCACCACAGGACCTGTTGCAGTAGGACTTGGAGCTGCTAAAGGAGGATTGTTTGGTCCAATAATCATATGAGGTGAGTGTGCAGCTACGAGGTTAGGAGTATCGCTTAGCAATAAAGATAGTCGTCTGGCACAGAAATAAGCAAGGCGACGGGACAGGTAGGCTGACTGAACAAACTCTTCTGAATACTGAAAAAAAATGCATAATATAATAAGCAAAACAGCCTTTTCAAGGTACTCACTTTCACTACAATTCTGATATCTAATATACATAAATTAGAAGGGATCATCTAATGCACCTAGAAGATCTCTCAGACAGAAAACATAGTTGAAACACCAGTCTACAGTTCTGACTCTTTAAAAAAGTTTGTCCTGAAAGAGCATTTTTGGTCCTGTTTTTCTATTTAGAAAACCTAATTTATGTATTCAAGGCATGAGGAATTTCAAAGCATTAAAAATGCATATAAAACTGTAGTTTAGTCCAAATACGAAGCATCTGGAAAAAGATTTCAGTACATTTTATAGGTAGAACATTAGTATATAAGCAATTTTTTAAAATATACTGAAGAGCACCAAATAAAAATTTTTTATCTGGGATATTCTAAAATATAATTGTTTTCAAAAATAACTATAGCTTTAAACCATGTTCTGTACCTGCAACATTAGCGGTAACAAGAGTTTAAGAAGTTCATCGTCAGCAGGTCTGATTTTTTCCAGAACATCCAGTATCCATGTCAAATACTCATGTCTTTCAAGCATTCCCTCCTGAAAGAATTTTTTTTTAAATTGCATAAAAATTAATTGGAAGCAGCAAACAAGAAGCTTTATAATTTTGTTACAAATGCTCCTTTAAAATGCCACTTGGTTCTGATCTCCTGACTCAAATGAAAATGATTTTAAGGCTTGATGATAAGACCCTACAACTCTCAAAGATTTTTAAAAATTAACATAGAAAGAAAAATATGCAAGAACAAATGCTACTCAAAGAGCCCAGTAGATGAAGAAGCAACCATGAACTGGAATGGACTATGCACACAGTTCAAATTCACCAGACTGTCTGAATCCCATCCCCTTGACAGATTCACTACCATAACAGCTCTACGCCTGACCCCTGGCACCAGAGAGACTCGTTTCTGTCTTAGTTCCCCCTTCTCAGACCTTCAGTTTGGCAGGGAGTACGCACTCTCCATACACAGCCTCCGGCTACCTTTCTTGATTTACCCCACAACAGAATTCCTTTTTACTGTTATCTTTAATAATCAGACTAGAAAGAGGCACTTAGTGGAAGGCCAGGCAAGTTAGAGTGCACAGTGGACCTTGCAAGAGGAGAGCAAGGCTGAACATCCAGGATAGGAACTCCACAAAGTGCATTCTCCATGGAGCAGAAAACTAATTCAGCACCAATTTGTTGTTCTTGGTTTTTGAGGACTGTAGTCCAGTACTCTGCAAATGGGAAATCAAGAAACCTTCAAATGCCAGGAATGGATCCCTGCATGTGACCTGGCTTTAGTCCCATACTAATTGTACAATGGTTAGTCTATACAATAGCTATTTTCTAGTCATACTTTTTTTTTTTTTAAACTTCTTGTAAACCAAAATTACTTTAACTTACAACAACAGAGATAGAAAGAAACAATTACTTACTTTACAATAACTGGGTATTTGAGATGTGTTGTCCATATATATTCCACGGTTGGTGCAAATGTGCGCAATACACCTGAGTTCAGATTCTTTTGGCCAGCAGTATGTGTTGGTGTGCAACGGTTACACTCTGAGTGTCCTCATGCAATGAACATAAGCATAAAGAGCAGGATGGCCTCAACTAATACAGAATCAAGGTGTTATCAGACTCCGCAGGGAAGAAGGGCGGGTCATGGGACATGCATGGACAACACATCTCAAAGAAACAGTTACTGTAGGGTAAGTAACAATATTTTCTTTGAGTACTTGTTCATGCATATTCCACTGCTTGTGGCTCACAAGCAGCAGCCTAGATTATTGGAGGTGAGTGCTATCAGTCAACCTAAACAATGGCTACAGGTAGGCCATTGGCCTCAGGGATACTAAAACCCCTCTTATAACTTTCATTCTTTGACTTGGAGTTAGTATTGATTTTTCTTGGTTTACTTGTAGATCTTGTGTTGCCAGGTGTCCAGTTTTGGACCGGAACGCCCGGTTGAAAAGGGATGCCGGTGGCTCCAGTCAGCACCGCTGACCTGGCTGGCCTGTTAAAAATCCAGTCGGCAGCGCAGCAGGGCTAAGGCAGGCTCCCTATCTGCCGTGGCTCCGCGCGGCCCCCAGAAGCAGCGGCATGCCCCCCCCCCCCCCCAGCTCCTAGGCGTAGGGGCAGCTGCAGCCAATGGGAGCTACGAGGGTGGCGCCTGCGGACAGGGCAGTGTGCAGAGCCGCCTGGCCGTGCCTCCGCGTAGGAGCCATAGGGGGGGACATGCCGCTGCCTCTGGGAGCTGCCTCAGGTAAGCGCCACCCGGAGACTGTACCCCGACCCCCTCCTGCACCCCAACCCCCTGCCTAAGCCCTGATCCCCCTCCCACTCTCCAAACCCCTCTCCTACTCCCCAAGTCCCTCATCCCCAGCTCCACCGCAGAGCTCGCACCCCCAACCAGAGCCCTTACCTGCTCCTACAACCAAACCACCTGAGTCAGCCCAGCGAAAATGAGCAAGTGAGTGAGGGTGGGGAGAGCGAGCGTCAGAGGGAGCAGGGATGGAGTGAGTGGGGGTGGGGCCTCAGAGGAGGGGCTGGACAGTGGCAGGGCAAGGGTGATCGGTTTTGTGCAAGTAGAAAGTTGGCAACCCTAGTAGATCTAGTAGCCGGTATCAAGCGGAGTACCCCAGGGGTCGGTCCTGGGGCCGGAGGAGAGGAAGATGATCAGGAACAGTCAGCATGGATTCACCAAGGGCAAGTCATGCCTGACCAACCTGATTGCCTTCTAAGAGGAGATAAGTGGCTCAGTGGATATGCGGAAAGTGGTGGATGTGATATATCTTAACTTTAGCAAAGCTTTTGATATGGTCTCCCACAGTATTCTTGCCAGCAAGTTAAAGAAGTATGGATTGGATAAATGTACTATAAAGGTGGATAGAAAGCTAGCTAGACTGTCAGGCTCAATGGGTAGTGATCAACGGCTCGATGTCTAGTTGGCAGCCGGTATCAAGCAGAGTGCCCCAGGGGTCGGTTCTGGGGCCATTTTTGTTCAATCATCTTTATTAATGATCTGGATGATGGGACAAATTGCACCCTCAGCAAGTTCGCAGATGACACTAAGCTCGGGGGAGAGGTAGCTATGCTGGAGGGTAGGGATAGCGTGACCTAGACAAATTGGAAGATTGGGCCAAAAGAAATCTGATGAGCTTCAACAAGGACAAGTGCAGAGTCCTGCACTTAGGATGGAAGAATCTCATGCACCGCTACAGGCTTGGGACCAACTGGCTAAGCAGCAGTTCTGCAGAAAAGGACCTGGGGATTACGGTGGATGAGAAGCTAACTGCATATTGGGTTGCATTAGTAGGAGCATTGCCAGCAGATAAAGGGAAGTGATTATTCCCCTCTATTCTGCACTGGTGAGGCCACATCTGGAGTACTGCATTCAGTTTTGGGGCTCCCACTACAGAAAGGATGTGGACAAATCGGAGAGAGTCCAACAGAGGGCAACGAAAATGATCAGGGGGCTGGGGCACATGACTTACGAGGAGAGACTGAGGGAACTGGGCTTGTTTAGTCTTCAGAAGAGAAGAGTGAGGGGGGATTTGATAGCAGCCTTCAACTACCTGAAGGGGGATTCCAAAGAGGATGGAGCTCAGCTGTTCTCAATGGTGGCAGATGACAGAACAAGAAGCAATGGTCTCAAGTTGCAGTGAGGGAGGTCTAGGTTGGATATTAGGAAACACTATTTCACTAGGAGGGTGGTGAAGCACTGGAATGGGTTACCTAGGGAGGTGGTGGAATCTCCATCCTTAGAGGTTTTTAAGGCCCAGCTTGACAAAGCCCTGGCTGGGATGATTTAGTTGGTTTTGGTCCTGCCTTGAGCTAGGGGTTGGACTAGATGACCTCCTGAGGTCTCTTCCAACCCTAATTTTCTATGATTCTATGACTTAAGGGATGAAAAGTTGCAGTCTGTATCAATGCGATTTTGCAAATGAGCCAGTCATCTAAACACAGATAAATCTGAACTCCTTGTTTCCTGAGGTAAGTCCTCACTATTGCCAAGCATTTTGCGAATACCCCTCCTGCTGTCAATCGGCAAAATGGTAGAACACTGTCCTGGTAGTGGGAACTGCCCACTTGTCATCTCAGATACCTCCTACAGGCAGGGTGAATCACTATCTTGGAAATGAAAGTTATATACAGTCGTGTGGATCTAGAGTTGGAATTACCAAAATTATAGTTACCAACCTGAACTTGTACATGAAGGTGTTCAGTTGTCCCAGGTCCTGAAAAAGGTGCAGCCCTCTTCCTTTCTGGGATTCAGAAAGTAATGAGGGTAAAAGCCCTCCCCATGCTCTTGAGGCACTTCTTCCACTGTTCTGAGATATGGCAGTGACTGCACCTCCTGATGTAGCGTGCTGTCCTGAAAAGGGGTCCCTGGAAAGGGATGGGTGGGGATTGGGGCTGAACAGTGAGCAACAAAGCTCAGACACTGCAAATCTGACTCGCAGCCGGGGTCACCCCTCCCACATGCCCTTGGTTGGAGGCACAAGGACACTCAGGCCATAGGCACAGCCCCCAACAGACACTGCTGGCCAAAAGAACCCAAACTCGAGTGCACCGGGTGCATGTGTACCAAGAATGGAATATGTATGGACAAGCACTGGAATCAAATACATGCTGAAAATGCATTTATGGAGGCCACAGGGTCTAATGGGCTGAGCAAGTGACTAATCAACTAAGGGCTCAGAGAATCTTGAGCTTTAACCCGGCTCAAGCCACTGTCCAACACATACTATCTGACCTCTTTGTGCTTCATTCATACAATTTGGTCAGAAAACTAGGCTGATGTAAGGAGCGCCCTCTGCTCCCCTATGCAGCTCCCCCCCCCGACACACACACACACACACAAAACCTCAAGTTACAGTTGAGCTGAATTACACTATCCTATTATGAACAAATAGCTCTTTCATTACCAAATATGAAGCTACAAGTTTGCTATCAGCAAGTTGCACCTGAATGAAGATATTAATTTGCTCATTATCTGTTTCAGTGACTGAAAATGGGAAGTTTGATAACAATGTGCATTTCTTTCTAAATTAAAAGGTCTAAATCCACTTCATGCAAAATTAATCAGTGGTAAGACAAGAAAGTTGCAGCTTTGTACGAGTGACAATAACTGTGCATACACCAGAGTCATGGGAAAGGAGACCCAGATTTTCAAAAAGGACTTCTATTTTGGATGCCTCCATTTTTGGTGTACAGCCTCAGAGACCTAGTAGTACATGATCCTCAGCTGTACTGAACACCCACAACTCCAGTAAAAGAACCACGGAATCTCTGAAAAATCAGGCCCTAGATCAGCATTTCTCAAATGCAGCCACCAGGGGCTTTTTCCTGTGGCCACAGCCTCCTGGACTGTGATTCGGGAGGGGAGGGGGCGGGGGAAGATACGACAAAATAGTGGCCCCTCCCCCTCCCTGCTGCTCCTGAATGCCCCGCCTTGGTGTTGATTGCTGGGGCCGCTAGCAGCGGTTGTGCTCTGCCACCCCTCTGGAGACTCCTGGGGCACAATGCGGGAGGAGCAGGGAGTCGGTGAATTCCCCACCTTCCTAGGGGCGGTGGGGCTCAGACTTTGGCCTTCAGCCCTGGGGTGGTGGATTGGCAGGCTCTGGCAGCGGGGCTTTGGGCTCCAGCTGTGCGGCAGCAGATCCCAGGCTCCGGCCGCGGGGCGTCAGGCTCCAGCCCCCCGCTGCCACCCCCAGCCCCCAATTCACCAACCCTCATTGCCCCTGGCCCCTGCTACCTTCCCCGACCCTCCATCCAGGCCTTAATTTGTCCCCAAGCTTGCCAGGGCTGAGTAAGTCTGCTGTGAAAAGCGATACACCTCTACCCTGATATAATGCGGTCCTCGGAAGCCAAAAAAAGTCTCACTGCCTTATAGGTGAGACCACATTATATCGGGTTCGGTCCGGTCCGGCGTACCAGCAAGAGCTGGTACACCGTGCCAGACTGGACCAGCTTCCCCAGTGGTGATTTAAAGGGCCCAGGGCTCCAGCTACTGTGGGGAGCCCCGGGCCCTTTAAATCACCGCCGGGGCTCCAGCAGCTGGGCTCTGGCGGTGATTTAAAGGGCCTGGGACTCCACACGAATTCGGATATAACACAGTAAAGCAGCGGGGCTCAGGTGGCGCTTTAAAGGGCCCGGGGCTCCTCGCTGCTTTACCGCGTTATATCCGAATTCGTGTTATATCGGGTCACGTTCTATCGAGGTAGAGGTGTACTTGTATTTTTGTTAATATCACCTTTCACAACAGACTTACTAACTAGCAATAAATACATTACAATGAGTTGGACGTGTATATGTGCATATTTATTTGTTTTTCCTAAAGCTAATTAAGTATTCTAGGGAAAGTGTGAGAGCAGCCACCAACTCTTTCTGGTGGCCGCACCCTGAGGCCACCAAAAAAATTGTCCTTAGAACCCCTACCCTAGATGTCCTAAACCAGGCACCCAAAATTAAAAACCAGTTGAAAGTTTGTCTCTAAATCTGAATGCATTTAACCTCATAAATCTAATACAGAGAAAACTTAAAACAATATCATACCTAGCAAATTTCAACAAAACATGCACAAATTGTAAGCTGCTAAATGCAAATTATGAAAGAGCAAGCAAAGTGCCAAATTACTTCTAAGTGCATTTTAAAATTGGACCCTACCTAATACAGTCATCCCCCAAAAGGCACTTTTTACAAGGTTACCTGGAACAGATAAAATGCCAACTTTTCATTATATTCCCACTGCTTCAGGGCTTGTTCCACCTCTTGAGGCATAACTACGGAGCCATTGCCTTGGTTTGAGGACACATGATAAAATTCTGCAATCTTTGCCAGCTGCTCTCGAAGGTATCTGGTTGAGATTTGAGTCCATTCTATGAAATAAGTTTACAGTTAAAAATTGACTTATCTTTCTTTTCATGTGATGACGTATTTGATTCTTCATAGTAAAAACACAACTTTTCAATTACCTCTACAGTCAAAATACCTTTACAAAACATTAAGCAGCAACTGTATAACACGATTCTGAACTAATAGGTTGTGTGTGTGCGCATCTCCTGTGCTTTGTTTTCAAAGTGTATACACCAGGAAGTATGTAACTAGCGTGCTAGCATAACGAATGTGTCCACCTGTAATTTAGAGGTACAAATACCAGCTACGACTTTAGGGAATCACCCATCTGCTCCATCAATGCTCAATATTCAATCATAAAGCAACCTTGCACAGAAGTGTAGGAATCAATATACTACAATTAATTACTTCAATGTGGAATCTTACTTTTTCCACACAAAGAATTATAACAAATAAAACTAAACAGGATTTTACACCAGCCAGAATTATTGGAAATAAAAAACTGTTCTTCTTATAATGCTTTGAAATTGATGTATAACAACCCTAATTTTAGTTTTTCCCTAGAACGTACCCTTCTTAGAGCAGTTTATTAGGTCAACAGACTGGCCACTGCAGTGTCAAATGTATCAAGACAAAACTTCTTTGAAGGTTCTCAAGTCAGACTGACAGAGATGCAATCACAGATTTGAGTCATCTTGCACTGCTCGTCACATAGTCATGACATTAACAGCAAGCATTAGTGCTTCTCTTAGCCTCATCCAACCCATGAGTCTACAGTTCAGGATGCTTTAGTGGGGGCAGGGATAATTAGTACATCAAGGATATCAAAATCATAGGGGCAGAAATCCACCCACTAGGTCACCTTTGGCAACCTCAAAGCATAAAAAGGTCAACTTCAACTCATTCTGTATCTCAAAGAGCTAGTGACACATTGCTTATGCCACTTGTGAGAACTGCTAATAAAACTCTAGATCTCACATTTATTTAAAAGGCCTCTGTCGAAAACCTTAAATCAAAATTAACCAACAGTTATTCAGGGGCACCCAGTCCTCGCAGTCTCCATTCATTGTACACCTACAGACTGCTCACAGTCTCTTGGTGCACGGCCACTTGAGAACCACAGGTCTCCCAGGCACAATTCTCACTATCTCAAAAAGATTCCTGTTAAGGGCATCATGAGCACATAAAGATGTGTCATCTGTCCTTAGCTCCGAACCTCTAGGTATAACAGCTGTCTTACCACGTGAGCCCTGCAAGATGCTCAGAGAAAGGGAAAAAATAACCCATAGACCAGTCCAGTCTGCTGCCAGAGAAGATTACCGTGTAACTCTGAAAATGGCCACAACTCCACCTGGCCATAAGTGAGAGAATCTTTTGGCACTTTCTTACATACAACCTTACTACCTGGGCCTAAACCTGATAGGATGTTCCCTGACCAGCTGGTCAGAGCCAATAGTGACTGAGCTAAGGGGTGGCTGTGCTGAATTTCAAAACTGACTTCAGCCGAAGCTACAGCAAGTGTCAGGCCACTTGAGTCTACACACAAGAGAGAGCAATACATAACAAATAATATTATGCTCCTCCTTCTTACACAGGACAGAGACGGATATTAAAACCTTGAGCCACCACCAACTTCACTGAATACACTTAAAAGTTCACCCTCAAGTAGTTTAAGTCACAAAATACAGGTTTGATTATATAAAAGCCGTTAAGGATTAAAAAAAATATATCAATTCTTTACTTGTACAATGTATTCTGCAATATTTTTATAGGATCAAATGTCTGCTAGTGCTTTACACAGAGGTTTGAATGCAATTTCCCTGACTTGGATTATTCATTCTCCTTCAGACCCCCAAATGAAGTAAACGGCTTTTTAAAAAACCAAGCAGGAAGGAGAATTTCTAGTTTCACAGTACTGAATGGGCAGGAAGCTACTGAATTGGGGAGGAGGGGTAAGGCAGGCAGCCCACTCCCTGGGAGATCTTTCCCAAGGATTTGTGGGAGATAGGAAGCAGAGGTAGCAGAGCTTCTTGCCACACCCTGTAGTCAGGGGAGTGGTCAAGCCTTGATGGCAAACTCAGTATTCCAAGCAAACTTTTGGGGTGTGACCCAAACCCTCCAGTTTTAGCCCACTGGAATTTTGCTAACCAAAAGAGTGTGTTTCCTATTACTTTAATCTCAGCACTTTTGGCTACTCAAAATATGACTCAGATTTCTACTAATACTACTTTTATTTCTTTTTGTGGTATGTCCCACTGCCCTGTTGAGTTTACCAAAACAGCTTCTTCTATTAACTGTACCTTTTCTTGCTTCAGAAAATTGCCATTATTTCTAACCTTACAGCTGATAGCTATGGAGAACAATTTCTCCATCTAATCTTTGTAGCACTCCTTTTAAAAGGCTATGCCTCAGATTTCTACCCCAACATGACCTCTTTTTCATCCTTTGAAATGCAGATACCTTGACATAGACATGTAAAATGTGTCTGAATATGAATTTAAATGCCTATTTTGAGGAACTCCAAATTGAACATTTGGCCCTAAATCTTTCCTTCTAGCTCATTACACCCAAAACCTTGGGTCTTCCTGTTGGCAGTTGCTCTTGTCTGAACTCCTAACATTTTCACTGAAGTCATGTGGGCCATTTGTTGAACCTTACATTAATATTTGTAAAGTCTTCTGATGTCTTGCCTTTCAAAAGCCCCAAACACCCCTCTCATCTTGCAGATGCTGTCCTTTGTCTGACTTGCACACCTCACAGGACACAATTAAGCATTTATCATCTGTGCACATGAAGAGGATTTCTGTGAATACAAACTACCACCAACATCACAAGCTTTGACCTTGCCATACACAGAACAATGCTAAACAAAGTTAATTAATCCACCACCATTTACCTCATTGAGTGTTTCGTTCTTAAGTTTAGAGTGAAGTGAACAATGTAGTAAAAGGCTGTGTGAAGTTTTGCAATAATGATGCAATTGCTGCGTTTCTGTCATTCTTATTCAGATAATCTCAGAAATATGGACCCAGTATGAGAGCAATACACAAAATATGGTGGAACTTTTCTTAAAATTAGTATAAATGCAGGAGTGGGTGGTAGCAGGGTCTACATGGACAGTTGATACGCACATGCTAATGTGCTATAGATTCACATCTCAGCTTGCCACACACTAACTCTGTCCAGACAAACTCTAAATTAATGTGGGGTGATAATTTAGGTGAAGGATTACCTACCTTAGAATTCCTCTTTTCCATCCTCTTAACAGTACAGCTGAATTTACTAGGGATATTTTTTAATGTCCCACAAGAGACAAATATGTTACAGAGTTATGTTTAACCAGCATGCAGCATATTTGAGAATAGTACATTCTTCTATGAATGCATAAAAGCACTGCTTTGACGGTCTAAACCTGTTTACTATCAAAGCTACAGGGACTCCCCATATGAAAGGCTAACATTTTCATTGTGGTCTGTGCAATATTTGATCCTCAGACTTTACGCTAGTTTGCTCATCTTTGAATCTTTTTCCCTGAATTTCTTCTACCATCAATATCTTTTGGAAGGGTTTTCTCTCCAAAGCTAGAGGCTTGGTACAAAAACGTGTAGTAATTTTCAGTGTTGTTTAAGCTTAAAACAACTATATAGAAATGTTTAGTAAATATTTGCTTCAAAACACTCACTCAATTTTCTAAAAACTATTGCAAATCCACCATTTCACACTTCTTTTCAATGTCACACGGTGAAAGGATAATTTTCCCAAGGCAATTTATTACCAGTACCTCAGTGCCACTGAGTTAGAAACCATGGAGAATGAATCATTTTCATTACTTAAGGCACAGACCTGAAACATTTTGAAGACTGCCAAAAACTAATCAGTGATGTACTGTATAATTATTCTCAGAAAGCTCTAAATAACCTTTGCAAAATAGCGAACTTGCATGCATAATGTAACCTTTAGCACCCATTTGGCACATTCAGAATGAAATCTGTGTTGGAACACTAATGTAATACTGAACCAAAAACTAAGTGCATCAGCCTTAGGATAGTCCTGTTATCTCGTTCCATTCTGATAACCATGTGCCTCCTCTATCATGGAACTGACCAAAGACAGAACTGAAACCAGAAGTATCCACCCACCTATTTTTCCCTCTGACATACCACTGGCTCTCCCTTTCCAGTAAGCAGAATAACATTTTCTTCACAAATACTGCCTCAGCTGGTGTAAACTGAAGCTATGCCACAAGTCACACCAACTGAGGATCTGGACCATTGATTTTGCTCAGAAGACTCAACGTTTTTATTTTTTCTTCTTTTTTTTTTTTTTTTTTTTTTTTTTAAAGTCAAGATAGTTTGAGAGAATTCTTTGGTTTAAATGCAGCATTACCAATATTCATTCCAGGCTCAGAAGATATGCCTTTGGTACTCAAACCTAATCCAGTGTCATTTTTTTATCTCCCTGGGATAGCATGATGTGCTGTCTCAGCGAAGATCATTAGCAGAGCTATTCACCGTGATTAGGGAAGCAATAAACTTATTTCTAGCAGTTAATACTATAACTCCTCCTAGGGTCTATCCCTAAAACTGTTTGGCGTAGAGGTAAGAGGAGAAAGGTGGTCAGAGGCTGGAGTGGAATAGCAAAAGCAGGAGATGGGAGACAGGTGAGTAAGTGCCTAGGACACTATATGTTCTATACAAACTAATAACAGGTTGGGGAAGGAGAGAAGAGAGAGTGTGACAGGCAAGGAATAGAAAAAAAGTAAAAGAGAAGCAAGGCAGCACTGGTCACAGGGTTGAGGGACAAGACCTAGAGACTCTCCTTCTCCAAATGTTTCTACGTTAGAGAGAACTTGGGAGGGGGAAGGGAAAGAGGCACCGAGCCCACAGTGACACCATCAGTCTCTTTCCCTTCCCTCTGAAGTCTGCCTGCTCCCTCTCCTCCATCCATGACTGCTGGGCCAGCAGCAGACCCCATCAGGAGTTGACACTGCCTTCTGCCTCCCTGCTGTTGTGATATAAGTGAC